CAGGCCATCTTTCCAATCCAATTTTCGAAACACTATTTCGAGGTGGGCCTTGAAAAGGTTGAGCAATATGAAATCGCCTTGCCTCACCTTCCTCTTAGTCAGTGTACAAACTGCAATGGAGAAAAGTGTTATGTCTGTCGGGCAGCCTATGTTCGATTCCTTAAAAATTTTCACATAGTTTCCACAAATGAGCTCTACCGTAATATTCAGTTCTATGTCATCGAATATTTTTGTTGCAATCGAACAATAGGAGAAAAAAGGAAATTGGACGTTCCAGCGGCTGGTTTAGAGCGAAAATACTTTGGTATTCAGCTTGCTCCCTCTGCCACTGCTCATCGAGGAGTTGTGGTTAGCAGTAATACCCATAAAAAGATTGTAAATATAGGAAATTAAGCAGATCGGGCGGTAATTCTTCAGCAAAACGGTTTTCGACTCTTACCAACTGCCAGGTATTTCTCTCTTAATCAAATACAGACTGAACCGAATGGCAAAGTTTATTCCTTCCGGGTTTGATCAGTTCGACTTGTAAAACATTTCACATTTTAGGGAGGCATTTTACTTCAAAAAGCTGGATGATTTAAATATAGATATATTCAAACATAACGAGCGCAAAATCGGGGAGGTATGCTGTCTCCATCCTTGTACTTGCAGACAGATTAAGATGTTTGTTAGACGTTTCCGGTATACGCTTCATAGGGGTACTGTTAACAATGTACCGAACACAGGGAAATTGTAAATCGCTCCGCTGTGAGAAGCGATGAACATCAGGCCATCGTTGGGATAGTATAAAATGAGAGGAGAATAAACAACTGGGTCAGTCTTCATCAAGACTTTTGGAGCAGTATTCATCAGTAACGTCGTCCAGCGGTATACATTCGGGAAGATTAGTATAACAATGTTATTATTCTCATGTTTTGCTACGTGGTCCGTCGGCTGCCTAAAGATAAATAGTTCAAAAATTGGTATCAGAATACCAAAGTAGGGCTCGAAGACAGTAGTTTTTGGGAAGCCAGGTTAGTGGCGCTAGATCTAATCGTAAATAAGAGCAGGACACAAAAGATCCAGACGTCTCACACTAACCTTGCTATTTACTTCGTTTAATACCGTGCGTAGTCTCGGACAGCCTACCATTGGGCAATTCTATCAGCACCACTAAGGCCAAGCACTACATTGCTCATCTACAATCCACAGAGGCACTCAAGCACTTAGCTTTAGGGCCGAAACAGTGCGTCTTCCACATTGAACTCCTTATCGTCCCATTACATCTCATAATTTTAATTATTTTATAAAAATATTGATGCTAATGCTTTCATTTCCAGGAACCTTTCCACTTTTCATTTGGACAGCTGCGTGTCTTACCTCGCTAAGTACAGGAAGGATCTGCTGTTTGGTTGTGCTAATTGCTGGTGCTGGAATATCCGTAAGAGATACAAACAGATTTGTGCATAGAATTTTCTAGAGACGTCCTCCATATCTGTTCGATTCGTTACACGACATCCGCTTCTGTCCCTCAGCGCTGCCATTATGGGATCGTACAGCAGCGCTTCTCCTGGGCGTTTCTTCATGCTCCAGTTTTTTGGAATCTTCTCTGCCTTCTGCCAGCGATTATAGTTTCCGAGACCCTCTTCAGCCTCTGTCTAATCTGCCTACAGAGGAGTGAGTGCTCCATGTTTTGCGTTGTATCCCTTTTCTTGTTTTCTCCCTTCTCTAACAGTATTTTCACAACTGTGGAGATTCTTAAATTTGGCCGTCAAAATCAAACGCATTCGGTATTTCCGCGCTCACAAGAAGCTTATCAACAATTCATTTGTAGCTCTCGTCAGTATTCGCCATTATGGTCCAGTCGGTATTTTTGACTTATCGCTTTACCTCCTCATCATCGATTTCTCCGGGCTTGTTAAATTGTGCCGCATGCAATAACCTTCTTTCGTTCTAGTCCGCAGCACACGGCGATTGCTCCCCATGGGCACTATGGAAACATCCCTGAGAATGCGCCAGTCATCGACCAAAATGTAGTCGAATGCTTTTTTTGCGTTTGTTGCAATCCAAAACCATCTCCGACCCACATCTTTCGGAGTCGGCTAACAAACAATGTTTTCGTCACCGCGATTGTAGATAGCCCATCATTTCTCTTGTTTCTTTTGCCAACGCGCTGCATTTGCTAACATACTTCTCTTCAGCTTTCCTTCCTTGCTTCAACCATAGCACTAAAATTCCCATAACGATCTAAAATTCCCGTAACATGAGCTTGACGATCAATGTGAATTTGAGCTCAGTACAGAACTGTTATCACGGGGAGTGGTGGGAGCATTGAGGTGAACGAATTTGAATGTTTTGTTAGAATCTAGTCTGAGGAGAAGTACGCCGTTTCATAACGAGTAGAACTAACAAGAAATGTTTGCAGACATCACTAGGATGTCATATGATACTCGCCGATTTTCTGGGGATGGTCGATTTTCTGGAGATGGCCATTCTCACTATCATTCATTAATTTTAGCACCATAATGCGTTTAAAATGCATTTGATCGTGGTAATGCCAGGGTTAAAAAAGCGCGTAAAATAATTAAAAATTTGATTTATTTGGCTTCATAAAGCCTATAACTCAGTGCTTATTTTTCATGTCAGAATTATCGTCCTCGACAACATTTTCCTCAGCGGTTGGTTGCTGTCAACAACGTGCGACCAATCGGGTTAACATCGAGCGTCCTAGCTCTGAGAGCGGGTGATTGTGAGGGAAGTTTTGGCTTTGGATTAGCTCAGTATATTTAAAAATTAACCAGTTCAGGATGGTGGTAAAGAGCTAGTTGAAACTGTTTGTGATCTCCAGATTGTGCCCATTTGCGCAGCGCATCGACAATATCTTCTGAATTTGGTGCAGCTGATGCGATGCCGAATACAACACGTTCCGAGCTATTGTTTGTGTTCATTAAATGAGCCGGAAGATGACGATCGCGCATTAAAGTTGACAGATATGGACCTGGTTATAATATCTTCATAAAATCAGATATTAATCAAACGCAATTGCTCCAAATGACTGGCGAATGACCAAGACCGATTGGGCTGTAAGTTGCAGGTGTAAATAAGGCAACAGTGCTAGCAGTTGCAAGCTGTTCAGTGAGTTGCCTCAACCTTTCACTATGATTTTAACGGTTCATTTGAACACTGTACTCCAAATCGCTGCACACAGTACCTCCTTTTCCAGTCAGAAGATTGACATGTATTCTGTATATTGAAACAGTAATGCTCAAGTACGGTAATGCGAAGGCACCAGCCGGATCTCGAGATGTAGCTTTTGTGGATCTCGAAATGAAAACTTGTTACAGGCGCACACACAGACATACACACACAGTCAACCCCTCGACAGTATGCGTTTTTCCATTGCATAAATATAATCCCAGGCTGGAACGAACCAAGTGGGCTGGTGCGGTCACGCGTTTTTGCACTTTTCGTGCCGTAGCAAAAGCGCAGTGGATCACAGTAGCTAGCTCTGTTACCCTTGCCCTCGAAGTTCGAGAAGTTAATTGTGCAGTTATGTGAGGTATCAGTTGTAGATGTCCGCTTCAATGATTCGACAAACGGAAAGTTGGTGATGTGCGAAAAAGACCCCACTAGAAGAGCTGAATATAAAATCTTTTAGTCGCACATGAGCGGGGGAAATCCCCTTAAAATTCCAGCGTTCCAGCTTTTGTTCTTCCTGAGTTAGCAGTTTTCCCGGC